CGTTTCTGTCAAACTGTACAAATCTCCAATCCCTAGATCTATCTTCAAATCAGATCTCCGGTGAGATACCACCGGAGATTCAGTTTCTCGTTAACCTCGCCGTACTTAATCTCTCATCTAATCGACTCTCCGGCGAAATCACTCCGCAGCTAGCTCTTTGCGCTTACCTCAACGTCATCGATCTCCACGATAACCAACTCTCCGGTCCGATCCCGCAGCAATTAGGACTCCTGGCGAGATTATCGGCTTTCGATGTGTCGAATAACAAACTCTCCGGCCAGATTCCGACGTATTTGTCGAATCGGACTGGGAATTTCCCGAGGTTTAACGCGAGCTCGTTCGTCGGAAACAAAGGATTGTATGGCTATCCGTTACAGGGGATGATGAAGAGTAAAGGATTATCGGTGATGGCGATCGTTGGGATTGGGCTTGGAAGTGGAATCGCGAGCTTGATGATTAGTTTTACTGCTGTTTGTATTTGGTTAAGGATCACTGAGAAGAAGATGGTTGAAGAAGAAGGTAAGATTAGTCAATCAATGCCTGATTACTAAAAACAAAATTAATTAATTTTCAATTAAGGAATTTGTTTTAATTACGGCTGTTTTTTTTTTGTATGTGTGAGTCTTTTTATTCTGGGATTTTTCCCTCTAATTTTTGTTTTTTGGGTTTTGAGAAAAAGAAAATTACTACTAATGTTTTTTGTCATATTTATATATTTGTATTTCACTTCTATTTTAAGGAATGAGAATATTTCTGTAAATTTAGTTGTAATCAGAAACTATTTCATTACTGAGAATTAGAGATGTGAAAATAAACAAATGAATAAAATCAAAATCATATATATTCTTGGTAACGGATACTGCGGTATCTGTGAGAGACAAGTGGACCCGAGACTGATTTGGTTACGTTTATTGCAAGTGGATAATTGTCAGAATAGATGAAACGGTGCGTTTTGGTGTTTTAAAGAAAACGAAAATAATACAGATCTTTTACGATGGTATGATTATCTCCACTCTATAAGAAGAGAGACTCATGATTATGTTTTTAATTTTTTTTAAAGGCATTGGTTATCATTTTCTTATCCGCCTACAACTTTTATATAATAATACGCTGTATTTTTGTGACAAATTTTCCAATTTCTAAATAGATTTTGATTTTGTCAATTTGAGAAAACTTACGAAAAATGAAAAAATAAAAGGAATATGCAAAAAGAGACTAAATTTTGGATCAAATTGGCAAAGATTTATTATGGATGAATATTTACCTGCAAAATACCCTCAAATAGGTGAAAATGTGTGCGTTTTTCTTCTTTACCATGCTATCTTTTATATGAAAATCACTTGGTGAAAAGTTGCCAATTTGTTGTCTACCTGACTAATCCAAAAACAAATAACTCAAATTCCTTCCATAACAAGTACCGGTTATCTATTCAATAATCTTTTACAAGACTAAACCGAATTCGATCACAATCACATCCAGCTGCAACCTCGTTGCTTCATAGCTCCAATCATGTTCATGGCTTCTCTCGTCTCTTCTGCTTCTTTCCACAAACCAGCCCCTGCATAAATGTTCGCCAGTTGAACATAAACCGAAGGATCATTCTTCTCTCGCTCCATTAGCAACCTCGCAACCATCTTCCCCAGCTTCAAATCTTCATGAGCAGCACAAGCACTAAACAAAGCCCACCACACATCTACTCGAGCTCCGATGCACTTCTCGCTCATCTTCACCAAGCTTTCCGCTTCATCGAGGTAACCCGCTCGACCAAGAAGGTCAACTAAGCACGAGAAATGATCCACATTTGGTAGCACACCATGAAATCCCACTATTGAGTTAAATATCTCGAGTCCCTCTTTGACTAGACCGGCGTGGTTACAAGCAGAGAGAACTGCTGTGAACGTGGCTGCATCGGGGTTCACCTTTCCTTCATCTTGCATCGTCTTGTAAGTAAGAACCGCACTCTCTCCATCCCCGTGTCTTGCGTATGCGGAGATCAGAGAATTCCATGACACAACGTCCTTTTCAGACATCTGATTAAATACTTCAAGAGATTTTTGTATAGTCCCGCATTGGGAGTACATGTTTACAAGAGCATTACGTATCAATGTCTCCTTGAATAGCCCGTGTCTGAGGACATAAGCGTGAGTCTGCTTTCCAAGCATCAACGACAAAATGTTTACGCAAATGCTCAAAAGCGTGCTAAGGGTATAAGCATCAGGTAAGACTAGGACCTCTGATTCTAGCAAGCTAGAGAATTTTTCCAAACCTTCAAAGGGAAACCCGTTATGGTAAAACCCTGAGATTATCGCATTCCAGGAGATTAGATTCTTCTTCAGAGATGTTTCAAATATTAGGTCTGCTTTTGCTATCTCTCCGTGCTTAGAGTAGGCAGATATCAAAGCGTTGGAAATTTCCACCTTTGAACTAAGCCCTAATTTGATTACACACACTTGAACCATCTCGAGGGTATCCAAATCCAGAGAGCTTCCTAAAAGACTTCCGAAAGTAAACTCGTCCGGTTTAACTCCTATTCTATGCATTTGCTTGTATACCGACATCGCAGACTCCCCCAATTTCGCTTGGTTATAACCCGAGATCATTGTATTCCAAGTAACCAAATCTTTCTCTTCCAATGACTCAAAAACCTTACAAGCCGCACCAAAATCCCCAAAAGATGAATACATTGACATTGTGGAATTGCAAACTAGAGTATACTCTTCATACCCTGTCTTGATGGCTAGGCCATGTACTTGATCGCCCATAGCCGCACATGAACATGAACTCATAACGCTAACAAAGGTCAGATCAGTTGGTCTAAGACCAGCTTCTAGCATTTGTCTAAACACCAGCAAAGATTCTTCTCTTTTGAAACCAGCCAAGCCATCAATGACGACATTAAAAGTGACCTGATCACGCACAGCAATATCAACTTCTTCAAACACCAGACTAGCGTCAACAACGACTTGGCAATTGAAATACATTGTAATTAGAGCATTCACAACAGATGATGCAGACAAAAATCCAGCTTTAATAACCAGCGAATGCACCTGCTTACCGAAATCCAAAGAACCATAGTAACACATACTCAAAACTGTAGCGAATCCAAACTTGTCATGTCGAACACCAAGCTTATGCATTTCTCGAAACAACTCGATACTCGTTCCATGATAGCCACATTCTTTGCAACCAGTGATCATAGCATTCCATACCGCAACATCATCTCTCTCAGGCATTTTATCAAACACCTCAAAGGCATACTCGATATCCCCAAGCTTAAAACTTGCGCTTAGAAGCGTCGTCCATGAATAAACATCAGGTTCCTCTATCTCTCCAAAGCTTTTCTTCAACGAAACTAAGTTCCCTGATCTCGCATAGAGCGAGAGAAGCGTATTGGAGACGTGAGAGTGACACAATATACCAGAGCGAATCGCATAGCAATGTACTTGACCACCGAAGATGGTATCACGGAGGTGCCCAGCGGCAGTAACAGCTAAAGAGACGGTGTATTGGTCTGGTCTCAGAGTTGTACAACGATGAACATCGGCGAAGAGCTTGAGAGCGTTTCTGTTCTCGCCGGAGCGAGTAAGACCGGTTAGTCGGCGGTTGATATTGAGCAGAGTAGTCGAGTTTTCGGCTATGGCTGATAAACATAGAGCTTTTCTCATCAGACATCTATAAAGCTTTTGTTGTTACCAAAGAATTGGTCTCTTTTAGGCTTTTAGGGTTCCTCTCCATATGCGAACCATTGAGAAAAAGAAGAAGACTTTATAAGACGAAAACGGTGTCGTTT